TCGCGCTTGTATTAGGTACTGGCACGTGGCTTTTATCTGTTAATTTCTGCCGTTTGCTGTTCTGCCAGCTGTCATCGTATTGGGGAAAACTGGTTGCTTATATAAACTTCACCCTAGGAAAAGGTGTGTTTCACCCTCATACCCTCTCTCTGTGATTGTTTTCTACTGGCTTTTAATTCTTTATATTGAGGACTGAAACGTCTCCCTATGAGGGGAGGTGGAGGCTGTTCAGCTTGTAGAAGAGAAGGCTGTGTGGAGACCTCATAGTAGCCTATCAGTATCTGAAAGGGCTACAGAGAAGCCAGAGAGAGACTCTGTTAGGAACTGCATTGATAGGACAAGGGGCAATGGGTACAAATTGAAAGAGGGGAGATTTAGGTTAGATATTAGGAAGAGTTTTTTTTCCTGTGAGGGTGGTGAGACACTGGCACAAGCTGTCTAGGGAACTAGTGGCTGCCCCAACCCTGGCAGTGTTCAAGGCCAGGCTGGATGAGGCCTTGAACAACCTGGTCTGGTCTGCCCATGGCAGAGGGTTATGACTACATGATCTGTAAGGGCCATTCCAACCCCTGAAATTCTATGATTCTATATGCTACATAGTTGTTTAATGCAAGTAAAACTTATCGACAGAGTCACTTGAATGGCACTGTGGAAGTGTGTGATGTAAAAGCATATAACCACACAAATATTTTGGAATCAAAAAGATATGGGTGTTGGCAGAAAAAAACCCACAAATTTTGTTTTCTTTGCAGGCAATTGCTGTATAGAAAGCTGCCTCAGCTTTTTGATAAGCAGACATGGTGAGAACAGATGCATTTTTTTATCTCTTTTCATTCTTTCTGAAATGGTCATCTCTTGGAAAGTGAATAGCTGCTTAGGATCTCAAAGGATGACACATTTTACTTGGGTGCTGCGAAGAAATTGTAATGAAAAGTTTAGGTTTACATTTCACACTTATAAAAAGATATTCCCGGAAGTGAAACAGGTGCATTTACATCAGCCTAAAATACTGTCTCCTCTTCTTTACTTGTGTACTTTCAGAGCAGCATGCCAGTATCAACATGATGCTGGTTTTTATTAGTTTTCCTGTATATTTCTCCCCACAGTAATTGCTTTTTCATGGTTAAACACTTTGCATGGGAATGCTGTGATATATTGGGCCTGTAGAGATATACTTGCTTAGGTGACTTGGTAACTGTGATTTTAAATGTTATGAAGGTAATTTCTAAATTCTTAAGTATGTTATTTTGTAGATTTGCTTGTTTGTGGAGGGAGATTATATATGGTGCCGTTCAGAACTAGCCCAATCACTCAAAAGGCTGCAGGCTCCTCTGGTTGTAAACCAGTGAGGCATGTGCACCATGGTATTATCCGAAATAGATACAACCTTTACAATCAAGTGACTGAGTAGGTTCAGTTTGCAAACTAATAATATATTCTGTATATAACAGCATCAGACAGAGCTTCTGCATTACCATGGCAAACTTGATTAGTCATGAAACTACATGAAACTTGAGTGCTTTCTGGTGATTTTTACTGGAAATGTGGAAGATTTGTGGCAGTTGCCTGTGGCCAAATATTAAAACAATTGTTACACACAGTGAGAACCTGCTTATGTTCTTGGTCAGATGGGGAAATAAAACTGAGCCTGTTAGTATTTCATTGCTGATTCAATTATTATTTTCTCCCTTTTGCTCAGGCTGTCACGCTGCATACTGATGTGGGAGATATTAAAATTGAACTATTCTGTGAGCGTACTCCAAAGACTTGTGAAGTAAGTCAAGTAACAGCAAGGTTGCCTAGTGTTGAAACAAAGCAGTAGAAATAGTGAAGCCTGTAGGGGAGGTGCAGTGGCCTTTGCAATTCATCTTTTCACATAATGGAATGCTAACATTTTAAACTGGTACAGTGCTCCACCCATGGAACTTGTGCACTGTCTCATACTGCCTAGAGTTTTAATGCCTCACCTTTTAATGTTTCTCACCTGATAAAGTTTAGCTAAGGGACTCTTGAAGTTCCAGCATCTCCCAAAGTGTCCTTTGGCCTCAAGGGGAAGTATGGCCCATAGCATGGGATTCACAGATTTCCATGGGTTTGCTCACTCTCATAGACTTGATTTTAGTTTAAGAGACTCACTCCCAGTTTGTCAGAGACCCCAGGTTTTCCTTTTTGCCGTAAACTTAAATTGAAATAATGTATTTTTAAATGAAAAAGCTGAGGCATGAAGTTACTGATTACAGAATTACATTTACAAAATAAAAATGTTCAGTGGGAGTGATACTTAAGAGCATGTCTTGGGCATCTTGTTTGTACCTCAAGTCAGACAACTGCACTGTAAGCTTTAAAATTCTTTGTATGTGTGACAGTGTCAAAGGAGTTTAACAAGTATGATTTGTTTTCAACTATTCTGTGGCAATAGTCTGTGGAATTCCCATGGTCATAATGCAAAGCAGAGGCAAAAGTACTTGTCCTGTCAGTGCTGTAATTTTAGTAAGGATACTGTTTTTCAGTTGTTTGTTAATATGGTTTGTTTGATTTCCTTAGAATTTCCTGGCTCTTTGTGCTAGTAACTACTACAATGGATGCATATTTCACCGAAATATAAAGGGCTTCATGGTTCAGACAGGGGATCCATTAGGTAAATTCTTCTGTCTGGGTCTCTCTCTATAAAAATGTATATAAAAAAAGATAAAGAAATGAAAAGCAATTCTAAGTATTAATATTGAAACCAAAATGTAAATGAAGTAAAAATAACAGAATTACTGTATTAGTGATAAGAGTTTTTTTATGACGAGATTAGTTTTCTGTGGTGGGCTTACAGGTGTGGAGCCATAACTCTGGTTTTGAGTAATCATGCTTGAGTTTTTCCATCTGTTTCCACTAAATATGATGGTTCTGCTGACTTATCAGCTGTTGAACAGGGAACAGTTGCTACTGTGCTTTCTGTTTTCTGCCTGAAAGGCTGCACTGCCTCTGAAGCATTTTGGGGAAATGTCCCAGACAGTGTCAGCTGTTAGGGAGAAAATCTGATTCAGCTGTGTGTCTGTTTGTACTCACACTGCATTTAAATTGAGGACAAGTCAGTGTTTGGTTCTGCTACTTAATTGGTGTTCCTTGTATAGAGTTACATGTCTGTGCAGTGTCCAGACACAAGAAAGTGATCCCTGCCTCAAAGGAATTAGAGGCTATCTCGGGTCTTTGTTGCAAAATGTCCTAACAGAACATAATTTCTGGATTTTTCAGTCTGAAAATCCAGTAATCTGTACTGTGGTGCTTCTTCGTCAGGCACTGGGAAAGGAGGGAACAGCATCTGGGGCAAGAAGTTTGAAGATGAATTCAGTGAATACCTAAAGGTAATTCTGTGCTCTCAATATGCAGTTACATTTTTATATGCATTTTCTTTACAGACTGGAGAACAATCAGCATTGTGTTGTACTGTATGAAATATCTCTTTTGGAAGTGTTAAGCAAAGCATAATCCCACAATAAAGGGATAGAAAGCTTATTATTAAAATGGGAACAGGCATTTCTGTGCTTGGCAAGTTAGGTTTGAGGGTTTTCATTGCTGAGAACAGAATTACAGAGAATTGTAACAGCACTTTTCATGTTCTGAAGGCAAAAAAGCATTTTTTCACTGTAAGAGCCATTTTGAGGAGCCAGTTATGGATTGTGGGAGAACATACTAGCCACCAAGATTTGTTCTTAATAATAGTACTGAGTTCTGAGTCACAGAACACTTGGTATGGATTAAAGTCCTGCTTTCACAGACATGTATTCATGTTGAGGTTTTTCCCCCTCATTCAGCACAGTGTCCGTGGAGTAGTTTCAATGGCAAACAGTGGTCCCAATACCAATGGGTCGCAGTTCTTCATCACTTATGGCAAACAACCACACCTGGACATGAAGTACACTGTGTTTGGGAAGTAAGTGACCCAAGTGCATGTCTCTTTGTCAGTGTGTGAGGGGTCTGAGTATTTCAAGGCACGTGCAATGCAAAATCAGAAGCTTCTGGTCATGAAACTGAAATACTGTGTGTGTGTAAATGTATGCTCCTGCACTGCTACCAGAATTAGTTGCTCCAAAAGGCTGCTCCCTTTTGCTTGGTATTATGGAATTCAGTGGAAATAGGCATATTAAAAATTACCTCAAGAATAGAACTTTTCTTCCTTTTATTTTTTCCCCACTAGTTATTCCAGCTTGCCTTTTCATCCATGCCCAAGTGGATGCAGCCTGATTTTTAAGCAAACTCCAGAACAGCTGGATATACAGTTGAAGGGTTTACTGAGAAGCAGGAATCTGATTTGGGACTGGATCTGGGGCTGCATATGGTACTGACACCATCATGCTACTGTTTAGGTGGAACTTCCTGTTGGTCAGATAAAACTCATCATTTATAAAATCAGATTAGGTTGTTGAATCATTATTTTAAAACATGCTTACGATAAATTACCATCCTTTAAGCAAATGTTTAATGTTTGAGTCCTGATATAGCTTTTTCTATCTCAAAATCATGGTAATTTCTTTTGCTTGTTGTTAGTCTCTAGTGTACAAGTTTATCTGCTGAGAAAACACTGCCTTTACTAAATGCAGTTAAATATTCAAAGGAAACTGTGGAATGTGAAAATACTTATTCTTGTATCACATGTATTATTTATAGGCATCTAACTATAATCCTTTAATTTCTGAGTTTGTTTTAAGTGTCATTCTTTCAAGGTAGAGGCTCTGACAGATGAAGTTTTCCAGGTTTTCAGTAGCAGCTTAAGATACTCCTGCCCCAGTTGCAGAACCAGCAGAACAGCATATAGAGTCCCTGTGGGCTCACAATTCAGCTACCTGGATTCAAAGAGCTGATGAATGTGACTGAAAGGAACTGTGAACAGCACGTTTCCTTCCAAGTCTATTGCTGCAAAATAAACTGCCAAGATTTACCAGAACTAGTTATTTAAACAAAAAAAAAAAGTAAGAGGTTTATTAGAACAATCTGCCAGTTCTTCAGCCTGAACAGGAAATCTGTGCCATGAGATTGACAGTTATTAATGATTCTGTCCTATCTTGTCTTTGAGCTAGAAGGTTAGAAATTATCATCTCAGATTTGGAAACTGATTTTCCAGCCATAGGGTTCCAGTAATCCACAGTGAAGTTTGGTAAGGTCAAGATCTTGCTGCTGCCTAAACCTCTATACTATGGTCAGTCAGTCCTGCCTGTCAGGAAGTACAGCCAGGGTCTTTATACAGCTATGGCTGGTATAAAATATGATACTGCCAGGTCAGTGGGAATTATTTGTACTTTTTCTCACAATCTGTCACGGATACTTAGTATTTCCTTTCAAAATACATTATTTGCCACATACAGTGTTTTGGCTGTCTTATTTGTACCATTTGCTTGCAAAGTCCTTGCCCTGTGATACTTAACTGTAAAGTGTTTTGAGGTATCTCAGGTTATGAAATTTAAATAATTATTAGATTTCTAGCACTTCTGTTTTTCTTGCAGAGTTATTGATGGCTTGGAGACCCTGGATGAGCTGGAGAAGCTGCCAGTGAATGAGAAAACCTACCGACCTCTTAATGATGTTCGCATTAAAGATATTACAATTCATGCCAACCCTTTTGCTCTGTAGCCACAGAGTGCCTCAGTGGGTTCTGTAGAGGCTGGTGAGGTGAACTCCCAGATTATGGGATTTAAAGAGCCATGAAAAAGGGTTAGCTGAGGTGGATCTTACCTTTGCTCACTGAATGCAGAATTTTCAGGAGCTGTGATGTCGTCTGGAAGTTGCCACAGAGAAGTGTTGTGCTGCAGAAACCAGGTTTTCCAGAGTATCTTCCAGGAGTTTAGCTTTTAAACATTGCTTTTTGTACTTGTAAAATAAAATACTTTACAAATATGTTTTCAAATCATTGGGTTTTGCCTTGTCTAAGTGATACTATGTTGAAACAATGTCCTTTGGTATAATTTCATGCTGCCAGTTTTCTGAAACTTTCTTATGTAGAGTCTAACCTTACTCAGTTTTCTTAAAAGAGTAAAGTAAGCAATTTTTCCCCTAGGTGAGAGCAGTGTCATAAATAGATGAAACCTTTCTCTCCTAGAGGACTGAAGAACATACTTAGGGGACTGCTTGCTCTTGTAGTGCTGTGTTGGAATGGTAACCTCTTCAGCTTCCACAAAAGGGAGATGGGAAACAACTTCTGGCACAGTGCTATTGGCATGAAAGAGTAAGTATTTTTGTCTTTACGTAGCTGTTGATTGAAACTAGGTAACATGGATTTACTGCAACTTGGTTTTCATCACCTCATTGCACAAACTGTAGAGGTTGAAGAGCAGCGTCAAGCACGTGGGCAGTGATTGGGTTGTTTGCGCCGCCCTAGGGGGGCTGAGCTCGGGTTCGCCCCGGGGCACACTGGGTGTGCGGGGCAGCGGCGCAGCCCCCGCGGCACAAAACACGCACGGTTTGAACGTGTGTTTGTGCTACGACAACATGGTCCTGCAGTTTACTCGTTGAATATACATCAGCAGATGAATGAAGAATAACCATCGGTTAGAGTCCTTGAAATAAACGCATCAGTTTTCTCCCTTCGAAACTTCTTCGACAAGTATTTAGTTCAGCTTTACACAAAAGTGCAAGCACAAGGTTTTGGCTAAGTAACATAGCGAGGAGGAGCCAGCCTTACTTTTTTAAGTATCACTGAGAGAAATCTGTAGAATTAGTTATGTATGATGTCTGCCCACTAGCTGGGTGCTTTTTCTGATTGTTGTCATATATTTGTTAAAAAAAGCTGAAGATAGGAGTTGTGATTTATCATCTTCAGCTGAGACAGCATGAAGTGTATATGCTATTTATAATTTTAAAAAAAGCTCTTGTCAAGTACAGAGACAAATTAGTTAATCTTAAAATGGCTGTTTTAATCTGGCTACAAAGCTATTTTATACATACATGCATAAAATATATAAAATTACATATATATATGTAAAAATTCTTAACTCCATACAAGAAAAAAATAGGGGTCCTGAAATCATAAAGTAGAATTCAGTGAACTAGGCTCTTAAAACAATTGTCATTTTTTTGTTAACTTGCCACTTTGAGCATCTCACCTGAAAATCTCTTGCATGCCATGTTTTTTCTCCTGTAACATAAACTCTGTGCCCTGTGAATTTCTGGGGACTGAATTTGAAATTGCTCCTGCCAACTGTTTATGTCTGGTGTGTATCTGAAAGGCTGACTGGATGAATTGTGGATATTCTGACTGGAATTCACTTGGGTTTAATGACTGGCTGCAGGATCTTGATGCCATTCCAAAAGTCATCCAAAGAAAAGCTCCAGGAGTCCAGAGGATGATGTGGAGAGGAGCTAAGTGCAACATGTACAGAGTATTTTTCAAAGGTTACTCTCTTTTTAGGTAGAATTAGTTCTTTTAGCATAAGATCTGAAGGGCCTTTGTTAGTTTTTTTTCTTTATTTAGGAGTGGGGATTGTTACTTTTTCTGTAGACTTGAATATATTTCTTGCTTATTTTTCCCTATAAAAAGTAAGTTAAGTAAATGAACCTCCTATTATGAGATCCCTGGAAATGTGCCCTGATGAGTGTTGTCCAGTAACAGCTCTCAGACTAGGTATTTACAGTTTAAAGAAGCACAGTTTAGAACAGCTTCAGTGACAGTACCTAAGTCTGGTTTTGTTTTTTTTAATAGCTGAATAACTTCACAACTTGTGACTGGAGTTCTTTTCTTTATAGATGAGATCATTGCTATTTTAGGTGAAGGTACTTTTAGAAGAGTGGTGGAATGCACTGATCACAAAGTTTGTCTTTAAATAGTATATTCTTATTGATGGTGTCACAGTGTTGTTTGTGCTTTCTGGTTGCATGGGTTTATCTTTACTCCCTCTCAGGTTCCCTGTGTATTTCTTTATGGTTTCCACAGTTCCCAGACATGAAGTTATGATAGTACATCATGCTAAAAACATCACCTAGACATGAGGGTTGTGTAGGACTCTGGATGAGGCAGTGGCCTGTTAAGAGGTCAAGGGCTGACGGGGGAAGGTGACCCTGACTGTGGGTGAAGCTGCACCTCCTGCACTGGGCAATCCTGGGGCCTGGACCACCTCACTCCTCATTCCTCCTCTGTAATGAGCAAAGTCTCTGACATCACACAGCTGACCCTAAAGCTTCATCTGTGATGATGCAATGCCATTTGTGTTGTGGCAGTGAGTTTGTTAGACATCAGGCATGTATTTGGTGGCAGTTTTGCTGTGTGCAAGATCGTAGGAAATGACATTGTCTTTCTAGCCACTACAGAGGGCCCCTAACACCTCAGTTCTTAAAGGACTGAAGGCTTGTCATTTTTGACTGGCAGCTGTGTTAGGCTGTGAGATGTAGAAGTTTCTCCAGCATTAGCCCAGCCTTTGTAAACACAGTGAGGAGGTAGATACATATATATATGTTACTGAGTATGTTTTCAGAATGGAAATTATAGTTGTGTTGGTTCATCTATGCACACTGGTTATCTTGTCAGCATGCACTTTAAAATAAAAAACCTCTTCTGATAAGGTTACCATTGTTACAAATAATGTATATGGTGTGGAGGTTTGGGGAATCGTGACAGTAAGTTTATTCCTTTAGCTAGTATTAGTAGCTTACTCTTTTGCTAGAATTTTATTGCCTTCAGTGAAAATGTATAGTTTGGATATTTTAATCTGGCCACAAGGCTGTTTTAGATATAAAGGTAATATATAATTAAAGGATATAGTTATGTTGTAAATAGGTTATGCTGTGAACACATTAGGCTGTAAACATCTTTGTAGTATGACCTTTTTGGATAATTAACTTTAATCCAGCTGTCCACATAAAAGTTACTGAAGATACTGATGAACCTGGTTGTGTTTTCTCAGGAAATGAAACTCTCAGGAAACTGGCACTTCTAACATGTGGAAAAAAAAGCACCCTAGCAGTAAGAAGGTGCCATTTTAATGAGGCTTTATTCAACAGTCCTTAAACTAGTGAAAGACCAAGCACTGCTTTTTACCCTGTAGTGTCACTGATGCTTTTTCTGGATAAGGAGCAGAGACAGCCCTTGACAGTAAGTGTAAGGATGGCCTTTATTTGTTTTAAAAAAAAAAGTTACAAAGGAAGGAAGATCACTGTAGTATTGAACAGATTGCAGTGTGATGACCCAATTTTTTTATTTATTTTAGTAGGTGTGCTGTGGTTACCAGTATTTCAGTTAATGCTCACTGCTAGCTTACAACTGTACAGACTTCACTTTTTGACCCAATTTTTGTGAATTGAACTGTCCTGAGAATTTCCAGTAGGAATTATAGTTTCCAGGGAGCAAGATAAGCTCTTTTGTTTGTCCTGTCAACTGCCTGCATGAAAGAATGTCTAATCTTCAGGGGGCAGGGGTAGAGTTTGGCTGCCTTAACTTTCAGCAGCTGTGCATTTACAGAAGAGCACAGAGAAGCTGCCCCAGCCCTGCCAGCAACACAGCCCAGCTCGAGAAAGTTGTTGGGCAGCTCTGTGTGGAACAGCAGTGCTTGTACTTCTGTACTTCTATGAGGGAAGGGACAAGGCACCCCCACAACTGCTGCCCAGCTGCAAGGGTGCCTGACAGTCCCTCAGGAGCACAGGCCATCAGCTGTGACAGGCAGCAGGCTCAGAGATGTCACTCTTCATGCCCCACTGTAGTTACCAATTGCTGCCACCACAACTTCTCTCCAGGACACAGAGCTGGCAGGAGTGGGGCAGCAACCTCACCCAGCAGGATTGCTTTATGCTGAAAGTCTAGTAAAGGCATGACAACGTGTGAAGGGGATATTTGAAGGAGTTGTTATAGACTGAAGTGCCACACCAAGCTGCCACAAGAGCCATGGACTCTTCACCTGGGAGACTTTTTACAGGTTAATCTGCAAGCAGAACTGCTCTAAGTCTCATTCACCCTATCTACTCCAATGCTGATGGAAATCCCAATGAATAAGCTGGATTTCACTATGGAAGGCCTTAAAATTACATGATTACAGTAGAAAATACAGGAGGTAGAAGGTAACTGAAAGGACAAATGCAGGTTAAGAGTCAAATCTGTCACAGCTCCTGTAAGCTACTTGAGCATAGCTTTAAAAACTAAACCCAGTATTTCATTAACTATAGAAAACAGTTAAAATAAATTGCCATGAAAGCCCTTATATCATGCTTGATACAGGGAGGTAGGATGTAAGAATCTGAAGGACACATGAAACACGAGACTTATCTACAGCTCCTGTTTGTTTTACTGAGCACAGAGTTTCACAGGTCAGTCACCCTCTTCAGCTTCAGACTCCGACTCTGCAACAGAGACACCTCATCAGCAGACTGCCCACAGCTCAGCCCCACAGCCCCAAGTTCAGTCAGTCCCCGCTCTGCACAATAGCTGCTGTTGGATCCCCGTGGATTTCACTGGCAAGCTTTTCAAACAGTACCAGGGTAGGGAGCACACTGCCTCAGAGGGGCAACTGACATCCCTCCCCCTCCAACAGCATTCCCAAAATGAACAAGCTCCACTTGTGAGCCAAACTGCTAGTTACCTTCTTCAGCATTCTTGAGCCATTCAACAAACTTCTTCATCTGCTCCAGAAAATCCTTTTGCAAGATGTGCATCTTTATACCACTTCAGGATGGGCTCTTCACTCAGAACTTCAGCTGCAAGATGTGAAAGAGCAGCATTAACATAGCAAACTGCTGAGAACCCCTGACTGGCAGCTTTTGCTTCCTCCCCTAGATGCATCACATACTCCTTCCCTGGGTACAGCTGGACAAACCTACACCAGGAGTGCCTCCTGTTCTGAAATTCTGAGAACTGTGCATTTGGATTGGCTGCTGGGAGTTTCCTGAGCATTGCCTTTAGGAGCTGCACTTTCACTCCCACTAACAGTCTGGAGTATGTCACAGTTATTTGAGATGGCACACTCTAAGGAAAGTTTCAGTTAACAGCTAAAAACAGGTACAAAAATTCTTTGAAGTTCAAAGTACAGCACAGGAAATGTTTAGCTAGTTTTGTTTCAGAAGTACAATCTAATCTTCATTTTAACAAGTTTCCACATGTGCACAGCATGTTTTTCAGTAACATCTTCTATCAGACATTTAAAAAGAGTCTAGAGCACCCCAGAACATGGTGGTGGTCTCAACCTCTGGCTCTTCACAGTCAGTGTTAAAAGAACTAAGGATACCCTATCATGTATTTTTCCACAACTTAAAAAGAACAAAGTGCCTAAAAAATCTAAATTTAGCTATGAACTACCACAACTCTTAAACAGATCTAGAGTACACAGACAGAATCTTTGTCTAGAGTTGTACCTCCACACGTGCCAAGGACCAGCTTCATGCACCACTGCATTTTACTGCTCTGTTTTTGCAAGCAGAAGCTAGAAAATTCTTCAGCTCATGAAGTGCAGTGTTGTAGCACTGATCTTCCCAAAGGACTTATGACTGAAGCATTCTGCTTCAGAAGCTTTTAAAAGAGCCAACCAACCAAGAACAACCCCTCAAAAAACCCATAAAATTACAATCCCACAGAAGTTACCTTTATAGAAGAGCACCACTATTTTCTGGAAGGCCTTCATGAAGTGAATGTTGTCATAACAATACTCCTGAATCTTCAACAGAAGAGTCAGCTCTGACTGACCTTGGGTGGTGAAGGCAGCAAGTAGAGGGCTGTATTGCTGTAACAAGAACAACAAACTGGCACACAGAGCACTTCACATTTATCACCTGACTCAGCTGGTTTCACACAGCTTCCATCTGCACTGCTTAGAAATGTGCAACCACCGCCCCACCCCACAGGGCTTCTGCAGCAGTCACACGGCCTCTGCCTCAGGAACTTGGCCTCTTATTAGAGGCACCAGGGGAACAGTTCTCTATCATCTAATGCTGTGTCTGCATTAGCAGAGCTTGTAGGCTTTAACATTTAAAAGTGAGCTGGGGACAGATGGGAGCCCAGGCCCTGTGTAAGGGTGCAGAAGTCCATACTGGAGTTACAATACCTTCAAATGCTTAATGGCTTGCTCTGCTACCAGCTCCTCCTTTTTGTTCCATTCCACCGTGCTCATTACACTTGACCAGATTATGGTTACCACAGTCTGTTCCGAGATGTTGTTTTTCTTCATCTCCTCCTTCACGTACAAGATGATCTGCCAGTTAGAATGAAAGTCAGCACAAAGGCACATATGGCACTAAGCTAAATTAAAGTATCTGTTCTAAAGATAACCCAGAATGCTTCAGAACCACAACTAACCTCTCTGATCATACAGCAGGATTGAAGACATTAAAGAAAGACTACAAAGCTAATACCAAGACACCCTGGTCCTAATTTTATTCCTGGTGAGAGCTAAATTCAGTTTTTAACTAGGCATGTATCTTCTTCAGGTTAGTATTCAACGCCATTTTACTTCAGGAGGAGAGGGGACAGGAGGACCTACACCTTGTCCACAAATACTTACATCCTTGAATGGATCTCCCCGTGACATCTGCTCCTGCAGTTCTTTCTGCAGCTCCTTCCGAGCCCCTATGGATTGCTGGTTCCGAACATACTCGGAGAGTTCTTTTAGTCCTGCTTCAGTGAAGTACTTGGAGAAGTGTTCAACACTTTGTTTGTTGGCTGGGAAGAGTTCCTGAAAACAAAGTTTACAAGTTTTTCACAAAACAAGTGTGTTGAGTGCTGGTAAGTGCTATTTACTGAACTAGCTCAAGCAGTAAGTCATTCATTTTAGTGATACTCACCATCAGCCTATTATCCATGTTTACTTTACGGAGACTGACAGCCACTGCATTAATATCTTTCTCATTTATCCACGATTTGAACAGCTTGACTGCAAAAGCTGCAGAAACACCTGTGCAATAGTAAGAGTATTAGTGAAATTCAAAACAAAGGGAATCTTAAGGCCCGTGAGTACAGGGCACCTCGTTTGTCAGACCCCTGCTCAGAGCAGCAGCAGCTGTGCTCCCAAGCAACCCCAGCAGTCTGTAGTACCTCTCTCTGCCCGAGGATACTGCAGCCTCCAGCACATTGGACTTTTCATACCACTCAGCATCACAAAGTCTTCCTGTACTAAATTCAACTCCCCCTGCTGCAGCTTAGGAAGGAGCCTAATCACACACCTTGTGCATCCTGAAAGGTCCCTCTCCAAAACAGTACTGCCTTGCTGGGCAACACTAGTGACAGCAGCAGCCCCCAGTGTCATGCAGCAAAGTCCTACACACAAGCTTTTTGACAAGACTCATTTTCTAAAGTCTTAGCAAGACCTTTTAGGTTGCAGGGCAGCACATACATCTTTGCTAATTCTGTAGATAGTCTATCACCAGATAAAGTTAGTGAGCTCCAAGAGTACTGTCATCAGTTTTCACCTATTTGCCATGTTCTGACACCACCACCCTTCCCTAAAGGAGGAGGTGGTTAACACTCACCTTCTTTAACCAAGTTCTCATTGTAAAGACTGTTGAGAATCGACGCATTAAGTGTCCCATTGGCTAGCAGAATACCCGTCAGCATGGCCAGTTTGTTCCGCTCAGATTCCGAGAACCCTTTCAGGAACAGCAGCAACTGCAAGAGAAAGTAAGAAGAGCTGCCATAAAACTACCATCTCTCACTACACTTTGGCCACTGCCTCTGTGTTGGACACTTTTGTTTCAATTGAGCTATTCAACCAGCAGAAGCAGTAGTCACTGGTAGTCTTCTCCACTAGTCATGCAAGCTAGCTGTTCTTCTATTAACAGCATGGAATGTTGTAGTTTGATAACCCATTTTATGATGTAACTCTTCTACAGAGTGATTAACTAGCAGTATTTGAAGGCTTTTTTTGTCTGCTGATAAAAACCTACTCCATACCTTTTTGACTTCATCTTCAAAGCCTTTCTCCAGGTACTTGTAACGCCTGATTAGCTTGTTAAAAACCTAAAAAGATAGAGAGTACGTTATCTTTTGCTCTGAACTATCATTTAATTAGAATGTAAAAAAAAGTTCAGTAAAGTAGGTCTGAACTCTTTAGAGCACTTCTTAGCTTGGAAGAGTGCTGCTCTACCACTCCCAGCATGCTTCTTAACACCATGTCTTATTTTTACCGAAACTTTCAACTACACAAACATTTAATTTTTGACCACCAAACAGCTTTAAGTTAAATTACACTCACTTAAGCACTAACCTGAGCAAATGCTTGCATGGTTTCTAGGTCTTCCTGTGCCGCAAACACACAGACGTTTGTGCGTGTCATGTCGTCTGCCAAGGTTCCACCTGGGGCTAAAGGATTGCACCATTAGTAGTATTACTCCCTACTGAGTAGGCTCCACAGGAAGAACTCCAATACCCAGAACATGCAACACGTTGTCCTTTCATGAAGGACAGAATGACCGGATTGCTGGAGACACCCTGACCTTTCCATCTGTTCCACTCCTGCACTAGAACTTTTAAAAAAAAAATCAGTGGCTTAGATTTGAACACTTAAATATTCTGACCCCCTACTGCTAAGTGAATTGGCTACGCATCTTATTTACATGTAAGTTAACATGGCCATGAGTTCCTCTTCCCTTAAGGGAAGTGACTGAAGCTGTTTAATCCTAGCAAGTGTCTTTTCAAGTGTCAGCTGTAACACTGGTGCTTTCTAAGTGCCTTTTACATGACAGAGTAAGTCACAGTAAGAGACTGAAATATCTTGAGATGCACATTCAAAAATCAGTGCCCCAGAGATGAGCTTGAAACTTGTGGTTTTTCAGGCTGCTTGACAAACAGGTCACCAACTCCAGTGCCAGAACATCTCATCATCAATTTCTATGTCATCCTACATACAATGGATGTATTTTGTTATGTATTAGTCAGAAACATGACTTCAGAAACAGAGATAAATATTAATGGTATTAATACTAAAAGGTGGTAAGGTAACAGGATGTCAGTTTTATTTCTGGCCTCATCTGACTGAAGATCAAAGTTAGTCTACTTAGCTACCTCTTACAGAGAAGGAGTTGAGTAAAGGACCCCATATCACCATTAATGCAGCAATGCCTTTTTCCTTTCCCTCTCAGCCTCATTCCTAGAAGGAACACTTCCTAACACAGTGTGCACTGGTTAAGACTCTTGAATGTAAACCCACATATAGTATGATTATGGTATGTGCTTACTGGTTGGTGAGCATCTGTTCTTTGCTCTTTAAGCACAGCGTGCACCTGAGTTTACGAAGACTTTTCGTCACCACATTTCACTTCCTGTGAACTTCAGTTCCCCGTGTTTTCTGCTGACTTAATCACCCTCTCATTCCTCAGTTCCCAATGTCTGCTACAGCCCATGACCTCACTATTGTCAACAGCAACTGATTTATAATAGCATTTCCAAGACTAAGCACTTCGGATCCTTCTGTAAACAAGTTTCCTTTCCAAAATAAAAGGCAGGATGTGCAAAGCACAGGATGTTAGAATCCTTCAGGGCAACTGTACCTTGTGACCACAGACCACACACCTAAAGCAAGTATTCGTCTCAGAAGTGAACTTGACTAGAGAGTCAAGTTCTTCTCCCCCCCAAAAAAACCAAACCAAAAATCCAAACAAACAAAAGGACAACAAAAAACCTCAAACCCAAACAATCCATTCTATTTTCTGTTAAGCCACTTTGTACAACTCACATTTTGATAAACAGAAACTGACTCAAGTGAAACTGCAGCAGGTTATACAGAGTATTTCTGTAGTAATTGCTCAGTCAATCACCAAGATGGTCAGGTAATTTACCACAGGTAATTTAAACCCTGTTCTACACACTCAATGGGCTCTTTAGCAGAGTTTTTTTTGCACTGAAAAGTGAGCTATTGCAGAGTCAAGTGAAAAAAGCTGACAGCAGCCATATCCAAGGGACTTACCCAGCATTCCACCAGCCACCAGGATGTCAAAAAGCGTTTCTGCATAGCGGCGATAGTCAAGTTTTGCACCAGAAGCATCAAGAAACTTTGCTACTGCCTCCAAGTCAGTGCCAGTTTCAGTTAAACCTTGAATGATACAGTCCTGGAACTGAGTAGGATCAAACCTCTCTTTTTCATCTGTAAGGAGAAAATGTTCAAATAAAATTGCCACATGCAGTTGTTTGGGTTCTAGTTCCTTATTTCAATCTTA